AAGCCTTCTTTGGTATGGAAAAATCTATTGTAATGATTCTTAATAACAGCTGTCAGTAACATCATATTAATTAGTTGACCAGCTGTCTGTGTCAGTTCAGGAAAAAGATCTCAATCAATGGTGAATGTATGGATTCTAACTGGAGCTGGGAGAAAAATGCCTTTTTTCATAGATTTTTCTTTTTTTAAATTGTTTACATCAATATTTCCTGTGCAAAACATTTAGTGTTTCAATTAAAAGAAAATTGAAAAAAAATCTGTATAAAAAGGTTTAGTTTTCCTTTGAAAAATGGAAAATTTAATTGAAAATTAACAAAAATTGCTTTAGATAAAAAGCCATTTGTAATCAAAGCTACTTTTCAACTTAACAATTTTGACCAACTCTAATTGTAACTCTATATCCCAGATTATATTTTTTTAAAAAGCCCCAGTCCTGTACATATTTATATACAAGCTTAACTTTGAATAATCACATTGAGAGTAAAAGTTAAATATATGCATCACTTTTTGCAGGACCATGGAATATTCTCTGGCTAAACTGATGTCAAAGATTTTGGGACACATTGGCTTGAGTCACAATGGAAAATCCAAAGTGGAGAGAGCTCACCACATTCTTCAAGTGAAGCAGGATCCTTTCTTTAAAAATGTAAAGACAAGTTTGGAAGGGACTTGGTTCTTCCTTTCTACCACACACAATACAATGGGATGGTTGTATTACTACGGTGTGGTTATTGGAAAACATGATCACTCTAGCAAAATTTCCTTCATATAATCAGTTGTAAAAAGACTTATACATTAATTAATGATGGATAAGTCAACTTACAGATCTACTTAAGATACCTGCTAATGCTTCTCACTTATTGTGATTAAATGGGTTATTCTTCACATAAATCAATAAGTCAACCAAATTTAAGCATAGTATTATCAGTATGATCAGCTACAATCAATGCACATTTAAAAAAAACAGTTTATTGTAACAGGCGGCCTCAATTTTTAGAACTGCATTAAATACCGCCAAAAAAAAATATTTGCCTCAATTAATTTGCTTCAGTGGTATTCCAAACCAAGTTCTTATCTGCATCCATAAATATTAATCAGAGTGATTTCCAGTTAAAAGAATGTTCATGGGAAACAAAAGGCTAGTGCAGGAAGGGTTTGCTCAGCTAACTTGAAACTTCCAGTTTCCCTCCTTTTTATAAAAAGTTTCAGTTATCCAACTGGGAATGCAGAAGCAATGCCAAATAACTTAGGTGACTGTGGATAGCTAACGATATGCCAAGTCAGTTATAATTAATAGGCTAAAGAGTTCAAACTATTTCATACAACACATTTATGAAAATCAAAATATATTCACAAATCATTTGTGACTGGAGAAAAGGGCTAAACGAACGGAATAAATTATACATGAGTCATAGTTTGACCAGCTCGCTTCATGTTATATGACAGTAATACACTATAAAACAAAAACTATCCTCTTACAGAGCTCAAGGGACCAAAAATACGGATTTAGACCTATGTTCTTGACTTTACATTTTCTGACAAATACTTGAAATGAATTTGGTTAGGGAACATTATCAACTGATGGTGCTTGCAGATTGGTGGCTTTCTTAATGTATGCTTCCCACAATATACATGAGTATCAACAGTTGCTCTATCATAGCGAGATCTGTTACACTGGTATAAATCCAGAGTAACTAGACATAAACAGAGTTATACAATTTACATTGTCATAATTGGGATCCAAATATGGCCCATCCTTAATGATAGGGAAAAGACTGATTAACAATCTATTATCCTTTTATGGAATAACATCACATTCTGGGGGACACATTCATTCAATATACTTAGATGTCCAAATTCTATCCTGAACTACACCTTACGCAATTCCATTTCCATTCCTGAATCAATGGAGTTCCATGGGATGTAGGTGAAGGCAAATTTTGGCCTTAAACTAGTGAGAACACTAATACTTCAAAACGTAGTGCCAGATCTTCTTACCCAACTCATATTGAGTAGTACTTCACCTTGCAAATACTTCTATTGGTTTCAACCAATAAGTGAGGGTAACAAACTCTGACCTATAATGTTCTACCTGCTTCACAAGTGGGATTTGTTTGACTGATCATTTGTGGAAAAGGAAACAAATGTTTCACTCTTTCCTTACAATGGAGGAGCTCATCACCATTACAAATTAGCTTATTAAATACATTGCACAATGGCCATATTTATTTTCCTTTACCTTCCAATAACTATTACCCTACCACGGATAAATAGAAGTTGATTTTCCGGTGTTTTTATTTTTAAACTGTATTCCTGTATGTGACTAATTGTTTTGTCCTAATGGTTAGTGACTTGCTGAAAGCTATGTCCTGAGTACTAAATAAAATTAATGAAATCACTATAGTATTGAATATGCATATTCATCTTCAAAAGCACTGATATTCACATAAGCATACATATGCTTGCTGATTGCATGACCTTTTGAAAAGAAAAGAAAAGAAAAGAAAAGAAAAGAAAAGAAAAGAAAAGAAAAGAAAAGAAAAGAAAAGA